GAGAGAGAGAGAGAGAGAGAGGAAGTAACAAACAAGTACGAGTATGCTTCGAGCGAGTTTGCAATCAACTTCCTTAGCCATATATTTACTAAATACAAAATAGTTGCTACAAATTTCAAAATGTCTGAATTAATCATAAATAATTATTGCGTTAAGCTCGACGACTTATGAACTTGTATATTGTTTGTAATAATCTTGCAACAAAGGAAACAAAAATAAATAAGTAAAGAGCAGTTTTTTGTAAGGGGAATTAAAATTTAACAAATCGCACATACCTATACACTTTAAAAGCGAGTAAGGATAACTTTTCAACAAGTAAATAGGTTAATTTCAAGTTTTGAATTCATAACATACGCACACATGGCATAATTATTTAGTATTTTTTGCGAATTAAGGTAAATTTGGAATCCGAGTCATAATTTTGAATTATTGTAATCAAAAGCTTATAGCTCAGTAGAAGTAATGATATATGCCATATAAACATACATATACTTATATTATTATCATGGCTATTCCGATTGTTACCGCACATTTTGTAAGCGAAATTTTAAAACTTTTTAACAAGAACTTTATGGCCCTATTATATATGGCGACTGATAGCCGATAGGCAACCATATAAAAAAAAATCGCATTACGTAAGGCTACTGACTACTGAGTCTAGTTGTGGAATTTTCTATTTCCCGCTTATGAGGTTTGGTTATTTGTTTACACTTGTTAAAGACATTGGATTCAAGTTTTCAATTATGTACTTCGAAATGTTCATGTTAAAAAAGTAAATTCGGCTTTTGTCTGCGCTTTTCTGTATACTGAGATTAATCGCTATACATAAAACAACGTACGATATATGTCGCCATACATAATAGGACCATTAGTTACCGGTCACAAAATGTTTGTTACCAGGCCAGTGTAGCCCGTTTCTTTAACTCTTCTCTACCGATTATTTCTCTACTGGTAGATAATATACGTCATTCTCTACTACTCATTAGCAGTAGAGAACAGGCCGGCGAATTCATATCACAATTCGCCTTGATAGAGAATTGTTACAGAAACGAGCTACAGGTCTTACTATGCATATTACGAGGGTTGCCTTTTATATTCTGCGCCTAATACCGAAAACAGTAAAATAACACTGATGCCCGAAAATTACCTTAATAAAAGTTAAATGAAATTGAAAGGGTTATTTTGTATCTACAGCTAACCTGTAACTAATCCACATTTTTTAAATAAATCAGTCACCCTTAATTTTTTTGCAACAGCATTTAAGAAAAATTTAATGAAATACGCTTGAAAACTGTATTTAATGAAGAAAAAGAAATAATCTTTTAATTTTATTTAAGATTTTCGGAAACATTTAGCATCAGGTACATCTCTTTTTAGTGTACAACAGTAGTCAGCTAACATATTTGGACTCCATTATCCCTGATACCATTTTTCTATGTTAAGATATATCCTGATGAACGGCTCACCGTGTTCGGCAAATTTTCACGAAAAAAATTTTTATGTGATTGTAAGAAGTTTATCTTGAGCGACATATTGCATCCCATATTATTGTAGGCTGTTAAAAGGTTGCTGACCAACTCTTCAAAGTTTTCGACTTTGTGGTTTCCAAGAAAACTACGAACACCATTTCAAAAACATTTACATGCGTGTTTTTCGATCGGATTAAGTTTTTCTTAAAACTGTTCATCAGTCAATAGGTCTCCTAATTGTGGCCCTACTGTTTTTCAAAATATTCTCCTTGGAAGTCAATACACTTCTGCATTCGCTTGAATCAATTTTTAAACTTTCAAATTATGCGGTATCCAACGAGAACAAATCTTCTTTACGGACAAATGTTCATGCAATATTGAATGTATGCTGGTCTCAGTAATGCCCAAGGATGTCTCTATGTCACATGACGATCTTGCGTTATCAATTTACGCACAGCATCGATTGTTTGTGGCACAACGACAGTTTTTGAACGACCATCACGAAATTCATGCTGCAAGGATCGACGGCCATGTTGGCGCTCGTA